GCTGAATCCTGGGGACACAATAATACCCAAAGGATGTGGAATTATGCTTGCATCATAATTGCAAAACAGATAATCCCAGGAATGTTTGGTTAGAGACAGATGGTAGTGCTGAAGCTGATAGGATGGGTGGGCACCTGCCTGACACGTGGATCTGCTCCTCCTGCTTTTGCTGCTGGTAAAGAGATTCTACAACCTTGATGGTGCTTCGAAAACTTGCAACAATGAATTGACCAGAAATAGTGGAGTTTGCCAAAAGAATGGCTTACGTCCATCACAAAAACCAAGCCAGTGGCTCAGTGTTTCTACCTCTCTTAAAAACAGTAGCCTTAGGTACTCATCCAGGCAGCCACGGCTGTGTCTAGAAAGCTTGAAGAACTAATTTTAGGGCCCTTCACATGTAAAAGGTAATACAAACAAACAATGCCCCCCGCCCCCCAACTCTTCTTATTGTATGTCTGAAAGGGGGAAGAGGGGAGAAAGCTTCATGTAAAGCTTCTATTTCTTTTCCTTTCCTGCCATGAGAACAGTTTGAATGCACAAATACTTTGGGCTAGATGGTGATGACTCCCAGACTGGTCAACCTGAGCTTAGCTTTGGACCTGTTTTGTGAGCTAAACTCCTGGAAAATTGTTGGAATGAATGCAAGAGTCAACAAAAGTATCTTAATAGCTGCAGAGCAAAGCTAGCCAATTTTATTTTTGTCCAGGACCTCAGAGATCATCTCTTGGGGGACATTGGCTAATAGAGAGCAGGGCTGCAGAAAGTAATAGGTGGCGCCAAACATGCCTTGGGTATCCCCTGTTTGCCTCTCTCGCACTGCCTGTTCTCTCTCATCTTTTTATTTTTCTTCTAATCCTTATTTCTCTCTGGCAAGCAGAAGCTGCAGGAATGGGACAGACAGATCTTACAAGAAGTCAGAACTGCAAAGCCCACATGAAATTAGGCCCTAAGTCACACGTGGTTCTAGGCCACAGATTGAAGCAGCACCATGATTTGAGCTACAAAACATGACAGAGGGTTTTGAGATACCTTAAAAATGACAATATTTATTGCAGCATGAGAGTTTATTGACAAGAGATTACTCCATGAGATGCACTGTGGATGATGAAATTGCTGGAAGTTTGCATTGTAGCTTTTTGTTATCAATGTTTGAGGATGGTCTAGGGCTTGAAACTCACATGAACTACTGTATACTAGAATTTTAAAACAGGGTGTACGATAAAATGATCCTTTAAACAGAGCTTATAAAAGTAGCACATCTGGTTGGGACTATTGTTGTTTTGCTCTTCTTTAGCTGCAATTTAATGTACCTCTCCTTGTCACAAGATGGGCTTGTGCAAAGCCATGAAGCAGAGGAGCAAAAAGACAAGCTATGTTATCTGCTCGCTACAGAGTTATGCAACACTACAGCTCACAACATGGAAGAAGGCGATCTTGGAAGCACCGTTCCATTCACAGAAGCATTAACCCAACAATATGAACGCGCAGGGCAAGTTACAATAGTCTATGCAACAGAGTATTTAAAGAGACTGATGAGGTGAAACACACATGATCAGAACAGTCACACCAACTTGCATCTTCTGCCTTTCTGGGACGGGCCACTTCTGAGCCTGCAGATGGATGATTACATGATTGAAATGCTTCTGTCATTGATCAGAAAACATTCGTATGTATGCCAAACTAGCATGTCAGAGAGAAAACTAGACTCAAAGCCCTGACATACTGGTCTTGTACATCCAAGGAGCTATGTCCTTTTAAAAAGCAAAAAGGGGAGAAGTTTCCAAGTATGTGATCATCCATCTAGAGCCTGGAAGGATTGCAATAGTAGGTCAATCTTCTGATCGTAACTTAGGCTTACAAGCGCCATCTAAACAAACCATTTACCTTGTTTTTGTTTCATTGTAGAGGAAGTATGGCAACTGTGGGGATTAGTTAATTATCAGAAAGTATGTTTGTATTATGTGTTGGTGAGGGAGGTGATAACAAAAGACTCTTTTGTTTCTTGAAGCAGGAAGTGACATGTGCTTTCGGAAACCTTAGCTGCTTATTCTCTTGCTTGAGGTGCTGGTGGACGATACGATCTTCATGCTTGAACTCCCCCCTCCATAGCTGTATCCGCCACCTGTGAGGCTTCCAGATCCACTTAAGCTGCCCCCACTAGTAAACCGGCTCACTTTTCCTCCTCCAATGCTGATGTGGCTGTGCCCACCACCGCCGCCACCAAGGCTTAATCCACTGGCTCCTCCACCACTAGCGTATCCAACTCCTCCTCCGGTCCCGTAGCCACATCCTCCACCGATACCGTATCCTCCTGCTCCTGCACCGCTGATGGTGCTCGAGCTGCTGATCACAGCTGTGGATTGGGAAACGATACAGGAAATCAGTCTTGGCCCCTCAAGCTGGCAAAAAGACTCCCTGATTTAACTAAACGCTAGATCATGTACTTACAGATATTGACAGGCGTTTCAAACTCGCCTGACATCCTAAGAGGGAAAAGAAAAACAGGGTGTTGAAAGAAAGAACAAATTGAGCAGACGAGCTTTTTACAGTCCAGAAAACTCAACCGCTCCTAGCGTGCTCTTTTTATGGCATTTGTAACAGCTTCACATTTGCTTCAAAATAGCTTCAAGGAGATTTTCCAGGATCCTGAAAATTTGTCACTCAGGGCTAGAGTGTCATGTTACTGACAGTGAGATGGGTGGGCGTATAAATTTGATTTATAAACAAACAAACAAATTATGAGCTGGATTTTCTTAGGACAGTGTTGTCCAACTTGGCTACTTTAAGATGAGTGGACTTCAACTCCCAGAATTCCCAGCCAGCATGGCTGG